GAATTTTCAATCATTACTCATGCCCATTTCTGAGATTATGGTAGCCGGACGTCGCTTATTTAACATTATCTATTGAGTGCCTTCTTATGCCCTCCCCCACACACGTGTTTTATTGCGTAAAAACACTGTCGTGGCCCATTGTTTTGCTATTCTACAGCCCAAACAAAAGCTTTCATTCACCTATAGCTACGATTTCCCTGTCGGTGAATGCGAATAATACTTTCTTTCTGTGTATTATTAATCTTTCCTCTCTCATATTTGTTGTTTTTTTCCTACAGTTATTCTTTGGTTCGCCTGCTCTGCACTTGTTTCTCTCCATTGGCGGGGCCGCGCTCTTCGCTTGTCTGCTGGTTTATGACACACACCTCATTATGCAGCGCTTCTCGGCGGAGGAGTACATTGCCGCCGCGATAACTCTCTACTTGGACATTATAAACCTCTTCCTGTACATTCTTCGTATCCTTCAGGCGGCGGACAGCCATTAGGCTGTTAGGCTCCGCCAAAGATTGGCCTCCCTCCCCCCCTGGATATTTTCCGACTCATGTCATCTCGACGACAGTCACAGAGGGGTGCCTGGCACCCAATCACTTCACTTGATTTCACACATCGTTTCCTGTCTTTGAGTTTCATCTTTCTCCCCGCCCCCACCCCCTGCAGGAATTTCTTTCAGGTTTTAGTGGTTTCCGTCTTTACAATGCAGCGGTGAGTGTCCTCTACTCACTCATGAGCTACGGATATGTAGCACAGCTTGTAACTGGGTATTCTCAATCGCAATTGACAGGGTCTGAGGCCCTGGTGATAAATTGCTTATTCCTTTGCCATTGATGCGGTCCTTCTAGACTATTTATCACCACAATCGCCTACGAGGGCTCCATAGCAATTAGTTAGGGCAAAACGAAACTCGGTATAGAAGCAGCTGGTCTGTGGCATGCAGTCATAGGTAGGGCGGAATTGGTTTTGTTTAGGCCCTCCGCGGCACACCGGCTTTCAGGGCATAAACAAGATGATACTTATATTGATTCATTTCTGGGGAAATTAATGCGCGAACTTGGAGTTTATACTTCGGAACAGACTTGATCTGTTAGTTCCCTTCCCTGAGACACGTAAAACATTTCTTCAGAGAGTACTGAACCGACGGCTGAGTATACTACTATTTCTTTTTTTTTCGCAGCAGGGCGAGTATCACATATTTGGCATGTGAGAGGGTGTTTTGAGTCTGGCCTGTTTGGATGTGATAATAATTAGCGTCTTATCTATGGGGCCGTTGAAGGGGGGCACGATATGCTCTACGGACAGGCCCCATCCAGTAGATGTGTTGTGAAGCTGGGAGGAGTCGTTTAGGCCAAAATGCCCCACATTGTTGCTCTCTATGACCACACACGAACGTATCACCGGTCGACTCCGTAGACACAAGACCCCACAGTCAAAAAAATT